ACATTGAATTGAATTAGACAAGGTGATGGAGCTGTATCACACTTGGGGAATGTTGCCCTACCCTTGGTGACCCTGATTTCTGGAGGCCATGACAGCCCAGCCTCTGCCCACTGACATATCATGCTGTAGAACTGTGGGTTGTGGGAGTCTGTGATCTCAGAAGAATCCAAATTGCAGCTTACCCAGAGAACACTGGGGCGGTACCCGCCCTGCTCACCCGCCAGGTGTCATTGGGCTTTGTTGAAGGCTTGGAGTGGGGGAGGGGAGTGCGTGTGTTTCAGAATGTCGGGGATCTCTGCGTGGGGGGCAGAGGAAAGAGGCCGGTCACAGAGAAGAATGACAGGTCAGGGCATCGCTGATAGAGGTGGAGGAAGGGCTCTGGAGCGTGAGGACGGGGGGGATTGATGAAGAGACACGGAGGAGAATCTTGCAGGCTGTGAACCACGTCACTAGGGAGGCTGCTCGCCCACTGTGGGGAGGTCACTGATCCGGCCATGTCAGCCTCAGCACACGCCTGCGTCCAGGGCTGCCCGCCCTGGGCAGAGGAGCTGGAGAGGCTTAATTGTACTGTTCTGTTTGAGGGGATGTGACTCTTCAGGTCAGCCGGGGGGTGACACGGCAATTTTGGTCTCCATTGAGTTGGAGAGATAGGACTGACCCCCAGGAATCATGAGCCAGCCTTAATAGGCCAGATGGTCTGTGCGCAGTGTTGCTCATGGCGTGGAGGTAGCCTTGGGCTCCCCCAGCTCCAGAAGGGCCTAGCCACCGTGTCTGTTATCCGAGGCCCAGCCTGGCACCCTGTGTACTGCCACTGGCCAGCTGTGCGGTGGAACATCACGCAATCAGAGTGGCTCAGAGACCATCCCTAAGGTACGTGGGGACAGGAATCTGCCTCTGGGAAAGAACCCTCACTCACCAAGTCCTAGCTTCTGGAAAAAGGGCAGTATATCACTGACTTGGGGGGGGGCTCAGGTGTGTCAGGATCTTGGAGGCAGAGACCCCCAGGATTTGGGTAAACAAGGGGAGAGTCCAGGCCGTCGAGGGAGAAGCAGCCTGAGTGGAGATGCAGGGGGCGTCCGTAGCAAAAGATCGTGGGAGGTTTGTGAGGTGGTGTGGTTTTCCTCTAGCACGTGAACTTGTCTTCTCTTTTTAAACATTTCAGTATCAATTGATTTCCTTTGCAGTTCTTTTGAGATAGTGAGGCGGTGTAGTAGATAGCACTCTGGTCTTGGGGTCAAATCCTGCCCCAGATACTTCTTGGCCATGTGAGTCTGGACGAGCCACTGAACCTCTCACAGCCTCAGTTTCATCATCTGAAAATGGGGATGATAACAGCAGGGCTGTTGCGAGTCTAGAAGCACTATCTAAATAAATATTGGGGCTTACTTTATGCATTTAAAAACATTCTGAGAAGAGGTCTCTAGATTTCCCTGGACAGCCGGAGGGTCCATTCAGCACACATAAAGTGAATGTGAGCCCTGGCCCATTACATCCCATAAACCGTAAGAGGCCAGCCCCCCTCGAGTCTGCGGCGCCCATTTCTCCCATCCACCTCCCGAGGCAGCCTCTTCACTCCAGACCTGTCTCTCCTTTCCAGGAGGGAGGAGCCCCCAGAACTGGCTGTGAAGGGGATGGGGCATCTGATTGATATTACAGTACCCACGCCCAGCAGCCAGGCTTAACCAGCACCTGAAGAAGTTGACCCTGCCCAGGCTGAGCCCCCTCGGCCTTTGGGGGAAGGCTTTCCCTTTATAAAGCACTTAAAGTTAAAATGGCATTAATTGGAACTGCCCGGCTTGCGTGCATTCTCCTCTGCCCTTATTTGTCCAAAATATGATTCCTTCGCCACAAGCATTTCCTGGCAGCATTCTTGGGCCTGAGCCCGACCGCGTGGACCTCCCGGTAGTTTATGGAAACTCAAGGCCATCTGTCACTTTTCTGCTTGAAGTTAGGGGCCCTGCTCACTCCTCGCAGCTGGATGGTCTGTGGACTGAAGAGGAGTGAAGAGGAGGAGCCCTTTCCCAATAGAACGGTGAACTGGTGGCCAGGGACCTCCCATGGCTCCCGTCCTACAGAGCCTTCGAGGGCCCAACGTCATGGAGCAGGCTGAGCACTGGCCAGGCCTGGTTTGGAGTCAAGAAGGTTCCTTCCTCTTTCTAAAACCCAGCTTCCCCCTGTGGAAAATGGGCATGCACTCCCTTCTGAGAAGTGGACAGAGGGTAGACAGAGCATGCCCAAGCATCCTGAGCCCCCTGATGTGATGATGAGGTCCCGTGAGCCGCTGTGTGACTGCCAGCTGTGGAGGAGAGAGAGAGCTGGTGTCCCATCCTGGCTGGGGGCGGGGGTCCTGCCCCCCCACCCCAGAGTCTCTATACCAGTGAAGTCCCCGCTCCCTGGTCCAGGTCTCTGCCCCATTATGGATAATATTTCACACAGCAGGTAGTCGAAGGAGGGTTACCCCCATTTTGTAGATGAGGAGACTGAGTCTCAGAGGGACATGCCTGTCTTTCCTTTTTAAAGGTTTTTTGTTCCTTTTTCTTTTCTGCCTTCGGCATGGACTTTCTGCCAGGGACCCCTCCCTCCCTAGTGTCTTTCTAAGGAGTCACACTGAAGGGATCTGTCCATCTCACTCCCCGCTGGAGTGTTGGGGGACCCCAGCCTTCCCTGGGGACAGCACGCTGTCCACTGCACTGCACTGCCCTGAGGCACACACTGTTGTTCTCTTCTGCAGTGAGGCGGTCAGTGAGCAGACCCCTCTCAGCTCAGCAGGCTTCCCTCCTGACTGTCCATCCCGGCCTTCCCTGAGCTCTCTGCGCCATCCCCAGTGGTAACGGGTGCAGCCAACGTTGGTCGTGCTCACATGCCGCGAACACGTCAGCTACCCCTCAGCAGCGGGCGCCCAGAGTGGCAACAGTCAGCTTTGGGCATATGGGCTTCTTCTCCTCTCTCTCGACCACCTGGGGCGTGTGTCTGCCATGTTGGCAGTGTGGTTGGACCAGGTTCGTACTGTTGATCATGTGTATGTGAGCATCTCTTTGCATCCCCCGGGCTCCCTTCACACGGTGCCTGGCACGTGGTCCGAGCATGCTGACTTGGCCTTTTCAGTGTGATTCTGAATCACGTGGGCAGTGACTTACCTGGAGCGTCAAGTCCGTGAACTGGAGCCTGGTCTTCTGTCTCCTTGTCAAACGCCCTCTGTTTCATCACTGTCTTTCCCAATGTGCTTCACCAGTTTTTATCAGTGCCAGGACTGTATGTTGTCCTGGATGTAGGAAGGTGAGGAGGGGGCTGGCTAAGGGCATTGAGTCAATGAGACCCTTGTGTGTGACGTGCCATCTTTGTAAAGACGTTGGCCTTCCTGTACACCCAGCCACAGAAGCCAGGGACGTGTGTGCTGTTGGTATGTGGCTTCCGGTAGGGGTGGCTACTGATTATTCATGGGTGCTTGGGGACCCTAAGCAGCGTGGACGTGTCAAGTAGAAGGCCTCGAAAGCAAATTTCAGAGGTTGCCGGTGCCAGGCGCTGGGGAATAAGCCCTCCCTGGAGGCAGCAGACCTTCCTAAGGGAGGGCGGGGAGGTTTCAGACAGCGGGGAAGGGAACAGCTTTGTTCTCAAAGCCTCCCTGGGATCACCACAAAGAAGGGAGACCCGGGCCCCCAAGTGCATGCATGATCGCTGGCCCAGTGAAGTCTAAGGCCCGAGAATCGGTCGCTTGAGAAGGGCAGGCCCTCCATGTGGGAGCCCGGGGAGGGAGAGCTGTGTGAGAACATCACAACCAGTAAGCCCAGCCCCACGGGGCGGGCTGCGCCACGGATGGCTTGTTGGGCTTTGTGGTAACAGCAGTGGCACCTTAGCTGGACCCCGGGAGGCAGAGCCTCTTCTCCCCACGGCTCAGGCCGGAGCAGGGCACAGCGTCTGGACCCCGGGAGGCAGAGCCTCTTCCCGTGGCTCAGGCTGGAGCAGGGCACAGCGTCTGGACCCCGAGAGGCAGAGCCTCTTCATCCCGCAGCTCAGGCTGGAGCAGGGCACAGTGTCTGGACCCCAGGAGGCAGAGCCTCTTCTCCCCGCAGCTCAGGCCAGAGTAGGGCACAGTGGCTGAGGAGGGCTTTTTCCCCGGCCTTCTGTGCCCAGGTGGCATTGCCTTCCCTGGGGCATTTGTGTTTTATTTGGGAACTCCTGAGGGACAAAAGGCTTCAGGACCCAGAGCCTGGGGTCGACGGGCTGGAGAAGTGTTGGGAGAGGTGGGTCCCCAGGTGGCCACTCAGATTTCACAGCACCATCTCACAGCTCAGCGGGGTTTGGAACACGGCCACTGTTTGCAGGCCTGAGCCTCAGTTTCCCTCTCTCTAAAATGAGAGGACTGGCTGAGGGGGCAGTGTTGTTGGACAGGACCGGCTGACAGGATGCATCCCAGGAGCGAGGAGAAGAGACGCAGCAGCTGACGTACAGCCTCGAAATGGAGCTTCCCCGTGTCGTCCACAACACTGAGTGATTGGGACGGCAACAGAAGGAGAGGTTCTGACCAGAATCGTTCTCTTCCCTCAGCCGTCAGCCCCTGAATGGCTGCGATGCTCCCTTCATGGTCAGCTGTAGCTACAGGTTTTTTACAGCTAGGAAATGTGGGGGTCTAGGGGGGCTCTGATCCAGAGGTAGAGCTGTGACCTTGCAGGTTGCCCCCTCATTTCTGCACAGGAAGAGACTGAAGCCGCCCAGCGAGGTCGAGGGAGGTCCCACGAGCAGAGCCAAAATTTGGATGTAGGTCCTCTGCCGCCAGACTCGGCATGGCTGGCCCTGCCTTGTGCTCAGGTCTCTTCTCAGGCTCCTTTTGTCCTGCTGAGCTGTCCTTGAGGAGAGGCGGGCTTGGCCGTCTCACTGGGCCGCTGTCTAAGGGCAGCATTCGGGTCCCTGCTGGGGTGAGTGGGGGACGTGCCCAGACATCCAGCCTTGGGCGGCCCTGCTGTTGTCCTCACTGGCTCCTTTGCTCTCCTCTTGTCACACAGGTTGGATCCTCATTGACCGGTGTGGGAAGCACTTTGGTACGATCCTCAACTACTTGCGGGATGGTGCCGTTCCACTGCCCGAAAGCCGCCGGGAGGTCGAGGAGCTCCTGGCTGAGGCCAAGTACTACCTGGTCCAGGGCCTGGTGGACGAGTGCCTGGCGGCCTTGCAGGTGGGTGTCCAGCCTCCTCACGGCTCAGCACCTGCCCAGGACGTGCTGCGTCCGACCTGCCTCCCCTTTCTCCCATCTCGTCCTTGGGGGGGCCTCATGGGGCCCTGAAGCGTCTCCCCCTCCTGGCACTGCCCCACTTGCCACCCAGGGCCTCTTGACTGGGCTGGCTTGGGTGACCATTCTCAGGAGTCACCTGCTTGGAAAAACCCTAGCGGTTTTCTTGCCATTATAATATCATAGCAGAATTCAGTCTCTTTCCCTGAGCCCATAGGCTTCCTCCAGATGGCTGCCTTCAGTTCAATTCGGTAAATATTTATTAAGCGCCTGCTGTTTGCCAGGCACTGTGCTAAGCACTAAGGATACAAAAAGAGGCAAAAGCTAGCCCTTGCCTTCAGGGAGTTTGTGCCTGAAATGAATGCTCCTTTCCCCAGGCTTGAGGAAAGTGGGTGAAGGCCCAGCTTCCACTCAGAGCCTCTAGCTTTGCCCTCAGGGGCACTTCTTCCCTCATCCATGATTCGAAAGGCTGTCCTGTGGGAGAGGGAGCGTCAGCCTTGTTCTGCTTGGGTGGAAGCTGCCAGACCCTGAGTCGGAATGGCGTGCCTGGGGAGCTGGTGAGCTCCCCTTTCTGGAGGTCTTTAAGCAAAGGCTGCTGACCACTTGTTAGGTGAGCGCTCATGGGGGTTCTTGTGCCGTGTAGGTGGGCCCCTTCCAACTCTGAAAATCTGCCAGGTCTCTGTACTGTGAAGAGATTTATACTAAGCCCTCATTGGAGGAATAGTTGATAAAAGGAACTTGCAGGGAGACAGAAGAGCCTGGGCCACACTTTGGGATTTGGAACGGAATCTTGCCTGTCTTTCTTAGAATCTTCTTCTCCCCAAACGCCAAGCCCTGCCTCTTCCCTCCAGGCCCCACTTCAGGCAGGGTCTAGGAACAGCGGGCATTTCAGGACCACGTGTGGTCATGGAGCAGGGCCAGGCTTTCGTCCCTGGCCTCACACTTCCAAGCACACTGTGCGGAGCATCTCTCTTAAAGGAACCACCTGGCGTTACGGCTCACAAGGCCAGCTCTTGCCATTAGGGTCCCTAGAGAGAAGGGAGCAGGGGAAAGGCTCCTTCCTGGGCTGGGCTGGGCCTCGGGAAGACCTCCTCATCCTTCCAGGCAGATACCCTGGACTGAGGGCACGTTTTGTTCCAGCAGAACAAAGACTCCTACGAACCTTTCTGCAAGGTCCCTGTGATCACCTCATCCAAAGAAGAGCAGAAGCTGATAGCCACATCCAGCAAGGTATGCGGGAGGCTACACCTCTGCTAGTGCTCCAGGGGGTGGGGTGGGGTGCTTGTAACCAGGCCTCCATCTGGGGCAAGGGAAGGAAAACAAGCCGTGATTAAGTGCCTGCTGGGGGCCAGCTGCTGTGCCGAGGCTTTTCTCCTCGCAGCAGCCCTGGGAGGTAGGTGCTATTATGATGACCCTCATTTGACAGTTGAGGAAACTGAGGCAGGAAACTGAGTTGCCCAGGGTGACCTAGCTATAAATCATCTGAGACTGGATTTGAACTCTGTGGACTCCAGGCCCTCTGCACTTCATTTATCTCTCCTCTCTTAACTGTGACTCACATTAAAAAACCGTTCTTGCCTGTCCCTTCTCTCCTGTCCTCTGCAAGGTCCCCAGTGCTGGCTACGGGCCAGTCTGCCAAATAACTTTATTTTTTCTTTCTTTAAATGCAGCCGGCAGTGAAGTTGCTTTACAACAGAAGTAACAACAAATATTCCTACACCAGGTAAGGCCAAAGTGGGTTGGGGAAGACACATTTATTTGCGGCAGTAAAACCTCAGAGACCCTCGAATCCAGACTCCTCCTTCTAAAGATGAGGCACTTGCACCCCAGAGAAGGTCACTCCCCTGAGGTCATGCACCAGGTTAATAAAATCAGAGTCAGGACTGGAACTCAGGTCTTCCCTTGAACCTCATCAATGGTTTTGTCCCCTCCTCACCCACCCCGCAAAAGTCCGTACCCCATCAGGATTGTCACTGTCTGGGGAAACTTTTTTTTCTGCATCCTTCCTTTGGTTGAGAATGTGAGGTGGAGGGCAGATTATGGAAACATGATGAATACTTTCCATTTAGTCTTCCCATCATCAGGAGAGCATCTGTGTGCATGTTCAGAGCTTCTGTTCACACATTGACCAAACACCTACTCTGTGCTGGGGCCTGGGGGTCCCCCCAGACAGTCCAGGCCCTGCCCTGAAGAGGCTTCCATTCCTGAGGGGGTAGGAATACTGTGAGTGTACACAGAGAAGTCCATCGCAGAGATTTAGAGGAGACGGCGCCAGTAACCGAAGGAGTCCCGATTGATCAGATGCCCAGCAGTGTTGATTCTGTCTGTCTCTGCAAGAGTCATCCTCATCCATCCCCTCAGTCACATCCCCACTGCTACTACCCTGGTTAGGGCCTCATTTCCTCTCTCTCTTAGGCCACTAGGAGAAAAATCTCCTCATCGATCTTGAGGGGTTAGCACAGATTCTTCAAGTGCAATCTGTTGACTCCAGGTTTCCAGAGAGGCCGTGGTTCCTCGGCTCATTCCACTGTGCCCCTCCCCAGCCCATTCACACCGTGCCAGTTCACTGCATCAGATGTTTCTTTTGCAGCAATTCTGATGACAACATGTTGAAAAACATCGAGCTGTTTGACAAGCTGTCGCTGCGTTTCAACGGGAGGGTCCTGTTCATCAAGGACGTCATTGGCGACGAGATCTGCTGCTGGTCCTTCTATGGGCAGGGCCGAAAGATCGCAGAAGTCTGCTGTACGTCCATCGTCTACGCCACAGAGAAGAAGCAGACCAAGGTAAGGGTCCCGAGAGGCTGTGGCCTTTCCCACCTGGAGCCGTCTAGGAGCACAGGGTTAGGGCTGGAAGAGGCCCAGAGAGGGGTCTGGACTCAGGTCCTGTCTCTCTCCACTGTACCACTGCCGCTGTCTGAAGGGGACCCCCACAATGCCATGGCAACTTCGGTGCCTCTTTGCTCTTGACAAGCTGACTGTCTTCTGTCACCTCTGCTGTCCTGAAAAGGGAGCCAGACTTGATGTTTGACCCCAGAGCCTGAACTCCCCTGAGCATTGTGGTCCAATGGTCAGCCCAAGCTGGACTGAGAGAATGCTCTGTCCCTCAGATAAAGGGGAGCCTTCCATCAGGAGCCACAGGCCTAAGGGAGGAGAAAAGGGGAGGTGAGGGAAAGGAGAAAGGAAAGAGAGAGCTCAGACTTACTCTCCTAGGCCCAGACGTGGGGCTTAGACAGGGTTTAGGGCGGGGAAGGGGCAGCAGACTTACAGGGAGGCAGCTTGGGGATCAAAGTCTAGCTGGCCCCACTAACTGTTAGAACTGTGTAGCCCAAGGAGGGGGGCCTAGGCTTCCTTTTCTGGAGTCGGTGATTCTCCTGTCGAAGGTGTAGGCACATTAAACAGGGGAGAGAAGAAACCTAGGAGAATGGCCGTCTTGGAATACATGAAGGATAGGCCTGTGGAGGAGAGATTCGATGGGTTCTATTGGGCTTCGGGGACAGAATTAGGAGCTGGGGCCAGGGCACGAGGAGGCAGGCCTCTGCTCAATGGTCAGGAAGGCTCTCCCAGCAGTCAGTGCTCTCTAGACCGGGGTGAAGGGCCTCCCCGCTGTGGGTCGTGGAGCAGAGGCCGGAAGACCGTTTGTTGGGGCCGTCCTGGGGGCAGGATTCACATGTCAGGAAGGCCCGCCCTGTCCAGTGCCGAGGACCCCCCGGCCCATGGCTGCTCTCTGGCAATGTAGACTAGTCACTTTCCCACCATGCTCTTCTCCTCTGCCTCACCTTCTTTTTGGTGAAGGGGAAGCAGGAGCCATGGGGCCAGTTTGCTGCTGCAGGAGGCTTGGGTTTGCTCCCATTGGGAGCTGCTCCAATTAGAGGGGACCGGAAAGCCAGCAGTGGAGTGGACACAGCTTGATTTTTAGGAGCAGTGGGCCACAGGTGGAAGCTAGAATCTGCTTTAAATGGATCGCAATATGGATGGAGAAGGCGCTGGGTTCTCTGTAAAATCATCTTTCCTGAGAAATTGGCTTTTCTCCCTTCCCTGTAATCCATCCCCAGCTGATGGTGCAGGAGGTGGAGTGCTGGGCCTGGAGTCAGGAAGACCTGAGTTCAAATCTAACCTCAATCACTTACTAGCTATGACCCTGAGCAAGCCACTTAACCTGTTTGCCTCAGTTTCGCCTCATCTGTAAAATGGGGATGATAGCACCTACCTTACAGGGTTGTCATGAGGCTCAAATGAGATATTTGTTTGAAAAAACCCACTTAGTGCAGTGCCTGGCAGCTAGTCAGCCCCTTATCAGTGTGCCCTCCCCTTGCCCATCCTCTGCCCCCTGGCAGGTCGTGGCTGCTCACTCCTCTCCCCAGCTTTTTAGGGCCATAGGCCCCTCCTGCAGCGATTCGTCGGCTTCCTGAGTCTCAGGAAATGGAAGAGCATTCTGAAAGCGATTCCCCGATCATTGAACAGCCTTTAAAAGACGTAGAAAGAGCCTTGGAATCTCACCCGCGCCTCCCTTTTGGGGCACTTGTAGCGCCCCACCTCGCCCCCTCTGTTCCTTTGTTCAGGGGGGTGAAGAACCAGACTAACGAGAGAAAGAAAAAGCTCAGAACCGAAGCCAGGTGTCCTGTGTAACAGCTCAGAGCAGCCATTTCCCCTTCCCCGTGTTAGCCCAGCATGCGGCCTCGAGGCCCGCCCTGCCCTCCTGAGCTGGCTGCTCCCTTCACTCCTTCCCTGCCTGGCTGGGGAGCAGGGAGAGGTTGGCTTTGAAGCGGGCCTGGTTCAGTGGCCATCCGTCCCGCCAGCGGACGGGTCGTGGTATCTGTGGAGCCCCATCCTTGGGTGGTATGGCCAGCCTTTGGAAGGACCGTCCCCAGACGATTCCCTTTCTCAGTGAGAGCGGGGCCTTCCCTTTGCTTCCAGAAAGCATTGCTTTTCTGCTCTTCAGTTGCAGAAAAGGAGGTCACGTTGGAATGAACAGTAAAGCATTGGTTTCATTTACATTCTGTCCACACTCTAGGGTGCTAGGGAGCAAATAACTGCATATAACCGCCCACCCTTTAAACGGGGCATCGGTGGTCTGTAACGCTCTGGGATTCCCGTGTCCTCACCCGTCTTTGGGTCCCTTCCCTTCAGGCCCAGAGTGGAAGACGACACCGAAGGTTGCTATCTGCAGCCCTCGAGAGGGGTTCTCCCCCAGCCCTGAGCCCTTCCTTGTAAAAAATGCCCCAAACCTTCATGTTCTGAGCAGGTTCGGAAGGCATTCTAGAATATCAGAGATGAAAGGGACCTCAGAGGCCAGAGGAGGTGATGTGCATGGACACAGTTTATGTAGCTCTAAATGTTTAAGAAGTTTTAGCTGCTTCACAACCTTTGGTCTCCACAACCTTGAGAAGCAGGTTCTAGCACTCTCACTATGTTACAGATGAGGAAACTGAGGCTCGGAGAGCTTAATTGACCCGTTCGGGGTCACATGTCTGTCGTGGTAAGGGAGTGTGTTATTGATGGTTTCATTTCCTGCTGACCCTCCCCACCCAAAGAGAACCTTCCCAGCCACACCCAACATGGCCTCCCATTGGCCATTCTGAATGGGCCTGCCTTACTCCTCAGTGGTAGCCCCCCACCTCTGCCATCAGTGCCGTGGACCTTGACGTTGCTGTGATCCTGGTGTGCGTTCTTCTCTCAGCATCAGTCCATGCAGTCTTCTTGAGTTTCTCTGAACTCCTCTTGAGGGTCACTTCTTACGGCACAGGAACAGCCTTCACGTGCTGTGTGGCATTTGCTCAGTGGCTGGATGCCCCCAGACCGGTCTCCTCACTTGGCTTTGTGGCTGAGGAGACCAGAGTCCCTGTGGGGGCTGGACTGCCCAGCTGATCTAAACTGAGTTTGGGGGCGCGGGGGTCAAGAGTTGTGGATTTCAGGGACTCACCCCATTTTCTGGAACACAGGTAGAGTTCCCAGAGGCCCGCATTTACGAGGAAACCCTGAATATTTTGCTGTACGAGGCTCAGGATGGCCGAGGCCCCGACAATGCACTTTTGGAGGCTACAGGTGGTGCCGCTGGCCGTTCCCACCACCTGGATGAGGATGAAGAGCGAGAGAGGATCGAGCGTGTGCGTCGGATCCATATCAAGCGCCCCGATGACCGGGCCCACCTCCACCAGTGAGCTGTCCAGCCACCCTGCTGTGCTGCTCACAGAGACTGCCCCCAGGCGCCCGGGCCATTGAGAGCCTATCGAGTCTGGAAACGGTATTTTGTAACAAACCAGATCATTCTTTTGGTATTTCTTGGCAAGATGAATTGGTTCAGTCCCAGGGTCACTCTTCACCCTGGGACTGCTCATGCTGCGTCTGTTGTTTTTCCTCTTTCCCTGAATGTGAATGAGTCTTTGGGGAAAGCATTGCCCAGTCCCTGGGATGAAGAGTGTGAGTGAGCAGAGGGTGACAGGGCTTTGATGTTCAGTATTTATTTTTGGTGGGGATCCCACAGGGTCAGCTCCGAGCTCTCTGCAGATCGCCTTGTCTCAGGGTGCTCCCTCCTGGGGGTCACCTGCCCGTGTCATGGAGATCTGCGGTCCCCAAGGCTGCCCTGAGCTGGTCTCTGCCCATCCCAAGGGGAAGCGTGGGGCTGTAGGCTTGTCCCACGGCCGTGCCCCCTCCCAAGTAAGAAGACCCCAGGGGCTGTGTGCAGTATTTCCATGGCCAAAAAGCCAAAAAAAAAAAACCCTTCTCAAATGGGAATTTCTTTCCCTCAGAACAATCATGTGCATCTTGTGGCCAAGAAAATAATCCCCTTAGTGTAAGGACGTAGCAGATGGAGTCTGGTCCATAAAGGGGCCCCATGTTTCTTCCTTCCCTTTGGCCAGGAGCTCCGTTTCACAGGCCCGCTAGGCCCTGGGCAAGGCTCTGGGCACGACCCCCAAGTGTCCGGTTAAGAATGTGGCTTGGGGGACGCCAGAGGCAGGGGGGTCAGCGCCGCATGGCCAGTGAGTCCAGTCTCCAAGCAGGACAGCAGACAGGCATTGGGCCAAGCGAGCCCCATTGTCCAGCCACGTTCTCTGCTACAATACTCATGGTGAGTGGGGGAACGTAGGACATGGCCTAGGGATTGGGGCCGGACCTGGGGTGGTCCGTCCACCAGTGCAGATCAGCACTTCTCAGCCGTTGACTGTTGTAGAGAGTTGCCTCCATCACCAGGCGGTCAATCAGACATCCTGTAGGTGCCAGTGTCAGGACTTGAACCCAGGTCTTCCTGGCTCTGAGGCAGGCTCTCTATTCAGCAGCTCCTTGGCCTCTGCCCTCCCACTCCCCCGCCCTGGTGCCTCCTAAGAGGCAGGAATGGCCATCTCGCAGACTCTGGGGTGGGTCCTTCTGCTGAGTCAGATTTCTCGAGATGGTTTCTTCAGCCCCTTCCCTGTGCAGAAGGGCTACAAAGAGAGAGCCCTGAGATGTGGCCCCTGCCCTGCCTTCTTCCCCACCCCCGGGCAGAGGCTCCCAGAAAGGAGCTCAGACTGTCCTAGGAGAATGTCCTCACTGCTGTAGCATTTTCTCTACCACAGCCCACCAGGGGAAGAATGTGACTATCAGCAGCCCCATTTTACTGATGAAGAAGCTGAGACTCAGAGCCATCTGTCACCCGCCCACCATTAGCCAGCTAGTCTGGATCAGTCAGGCCTCGAACCCAGAGCTTCTGCCTTTCCTTACTGTAAATAAGAGAATGTTCACAGCAGGGTTCTAGACCTCACCTCTGGGTCTCCATCCAGCTTGGGCCCCGGCTTTGGGTCATCAGAAGTGGTTCTGGCTGCGTTCATCCAGCAGACTGACAAGATATACAGATACCTTTGAAATGTCTCCTTCCGCCTGTTCGTTTTTGCCACTTTCAGAGAATAGAAAAAGGACACGTTTGTGTGACTGTGAGAGAGTGAGTCGTGTTGCTCGGGGGCCCTGGAGCCCCCCCCCCCGGGCCGTGGGGGTGAGTGGGTATGCAGCAGGCAGGGCTGCAGTAGCTACCTCCCCGTTGTCTCTTTGCCGCCAGGGAACGTACGGGTGACTTGGACTCTGTTGGGGGAGACTCGGGCGTGTGACGACAAAGAGGTGACAGACGTGAATGAGAGAATCGGAGGGGTGTTTGAGTTTTATACCAAAGCATTAGTCGTGGCAAGTTTGATTGTTACCAGACAAGGTATTTCTCTGAGTCTATTTATGTACTGACTGAAGCCATACGCTCTCGAGGCACTTGGCCTATAAACGGTCAGAAGGGAGCGGGTTTTTAAAATGCTGTTACTTCGTCTCCTGTCAACCATCCCCCTTGCCTGTGGAGATCAGAAAATCACACCCAGACCATGTCTGACTATTCCAATCATGTATTCATCAGCCCAAGGCTAGCATTGGTGTCTTTGTACAAAATGTTCCTGACTCAGTTTACCAAGTCAGGCTTCACACCTGCAAGGGTCTTCTTCCCCAAAAATGACTTTTAAAAGAACTTTGTGTTGATTGGGATTTAAGCTTCCCACCTGAATCATACACTGGGACCTCTGCTGGGCAGGCTTTGTGAATCAGGTCACATCGTACAGTGATAATGCATCGTGAATGTGGGCAGGCCATTAAGGGGTCCATTGTATTGGAGAAGTCACTGTATAATTACTCTTCAAAAGTAGATTTTTATTAATCTAGAATTTCGGTATTCACATAATAAAGCCTGGACTTTGTTAGTACTTCCATGGTCAAGACGAAGTTTCTGACAGTTTGCCTTTTCCTTCTGTCTCGGTCCCTCATACGTACACCCACAAGAATGGCTCAGCTTAGGGAAAGGCCAGATGGTCCCACATGGCCAGTGACAGTGCCACTGACCAAAGTGGCCTCCTAGCCCAAGCCTGTGTCTCCCCACATCCTTCAGGAAAGGGGAAAGGGCCCCAAGAAAAAAGCCAGTTGGTGTCTCAGAACTGTAGCTCGTCCAGCAATGCTGGAACCACATGCTTGTGGCAAAAAGACAAATCATGGTTCTATCAGAACTCGCCGGCCTCATCTGTCCTCAGCAAGCCCACGCCTGTGGCTGCCAGTGGCATCCCTCAGGCAAGATCCTGCGTCTGTTCTTCGCGTAGGGTGCGCTTATGGAGCATAGAATGCTAGCTTTAGGGCCAGCCACAAAGGAAGAGGGGAGGGAGGCTGCTCAGCCCGTAAGCTCATCCCCGATTCCTGAAGCTGTCCCGACCCTTTCAAGATCAAACTCTTTCCTCCTCTGTGAACTGAGTATACGATACTTTGGCTCGCCGACCATCCCCGGCCAGCAGTTTGCTTCAAATCTTTTCTCACATATCCAAATGGGAAAGACTCTTGTGCTTCCCAACTCTGATGTATTTTTCAATTATCCTCTGAAATTAAATTTAGATTTATGTTCCTGTTCCACAAAGTGACGAGTGATGCCATTAATCTGACAAAATTCAAGGAACACTTATTAAGTGCCATGTATTGACATTGACTAATCCCACCCCAAGCAGAAGGACAAGAAGACACATTCTAGATTTGGCCCCAACCCCAAGCAGGATAAGAAGCTGGGTTCTAGATTTGGCCCCAACCCTAAGCAGAAGGACAAGAATCCGGGTTCTAGATTTGGCCGTTATTTACAGCCTTTTTTTTAGGGACACTTCAGAGGTTAGCAGCTAATGTCGATTACTTAAGAGAGGTCAAAGATCAGCCCAACACTTAGTCAAAAATAGTCCACTTTATTGCACAATTACAAAAATGAGGTTTAGCACAGCTTTGAAAGAGGTGGGAGACACAAAGTCACTGCTGCTCTTATCACACTGACCGCTGTTTCCTGGAGACTCAGTTCTGGCTGCCTGCACCCCATGATTATGATATTCAATCACCCGTTACACTCCATGCAAAGTCTGCCAGGAAAGTGGAGTTTCTGAGCCACACATGAGCACGGTGCTCACTGTGCTGAAGCCTTAGCTCTTAGTCAGGTTTTTCTAACCTGTTTTTCTATATCCTTCAAAGAATCTGTCAGATCCTGAAACCCCAAACATTCGTGGATCATGTGTGGCCCATGGGCCCATCATGGATCATGGACCATGACTGTGAAGGGGACAGTGGGCGTGATTCAGCTCCTGTAGAGTTGCAGTAGGGGAATCCTTTCCTGTTGAGTGTACACACTTTTAACTAGAAGTTCACCAAAAGTGTCACTTTAGCACATTGAGATGTCTTGTACTAACTGTGCCGCCCCTCCAAGCTATGCACAGAATGCTTGTGTTTTGTTTTGGTTTTTTAGAAATATTCAGTGTTTGTAAGTTACAAGCATTTGTCTATACATATATATATGCAAAATAAAATTACATAAAGGACTTTTACGTGCAGCTGTCTGACCCCTGTTTTCTAGGCATTCTCAGGCCCGTTTGAGCCAGGGTTCCAGGCCTCCTTTCAAGGCCTTGGGGATGGGAGAGAGATGTCATTATTCTATTTCAGTGCAGTGCTGACTGGGAGTCAGCAACACCATGCTGAAAGGGCAAAAGGCACCAGCAACTGCCATGTTGTCATAACCTCAGCAGATTTTTCACAATCTAGAATGGGGGAAAATGCCTTGTAGCTCTGCCTTCAGACTGAGAGCAGTCTGTGAGAGCCGGGATTATGGAAATAGCCTTCAGAGGGACACACATAGGTACTTAAGCCGTTCCTTAAAAGTTCTAAGCCACATTTATTTAAAGTCTGAAACTCGATTTTTGCAGCTCTGTAAACTGTCTTTTGCTAGGCCATCTCATTCCTATCCCAGTCTGCCTAGGAAACATTTCCAAGATCATCTTCATTTGTCCCAGTCGGGTGGATGGCCGCTCCCTTGGGCAGCAAAAGAGGGCAATACCCCTTTGGATGGTGTCACCAAGGAAGCAGCAGCAAGAGGGGTGGAAGGCAGTTTTCAGGCCCCCAAACGTACTTGAATGAAGGTGGAAGCCAGGCAAATGTTAGGTCCTGGAAGAACATTCAAGAAGCTTGGTGGTTTGTGGGTTCAAACAAAGCCTTGCATTTGAAAAGACTAGCTAGAGTGGATGGGGTCTACATCTAATGTGACATGACCATATAAACGTGACTGTTGCCCATTAAAGTAAGAGATGAAAAGTTGAAAACGCAGAACTCCTCAATAATGCCCACATTCTCATGCATGAAGTTGGGAACTCCTTTGTTGAACTGGAGTCTTCACGCTCATTTTCCTCTTTAAGAGCCAAGATGGTGACCGTGGGACATTGTCCATATCAGGATTTCATCTGGACTGATACCTATGAGAAAAATGAGTCTTAGTTTCGAGACTGGGGGACGGAAATGTTCACACCTTTCCCCCCTACCCCTAGCATAGGAGGGGAAGACAATGGCCCTAGTCAGTTCCAGCTTGATGCACCAAGCCATCATCCCTGCTAACCTACCTAGAGGACCTGTGATTATCTTCCCAGGTCAATATGGCTCTCCTGTCTCTGCCATGTTCTTTGGTCACTAAATGGTGCTCATCTGTCTAAAACTCTCTAGGGACTTTTTCACAACCCTCAGAAGGTATAGGAAGTGCAAGGGTTTTTTTTGGTTTTTTGTTTTTTGTTTTTTGCAGATGAAGGCAATGAAGCTGAGAGGTCAAGGGATTTGCCCAGAGTCACATGTTGAGTAAATATCAAAGCCAAGACTAGAAGACAGATTTCTAGAGTCTCAGACCAGAGTTCTTTCCACTCCCGTATGCTTCCTGTAACATAAGTATGATTGGTTCCTGCTCGTTCCTTTATTTTGTCCACAAAACACACAGTAGGCACTTCCCATGATTCTTGACTTAATCTAGAACATCACACTGAGATGCTATGGAAACCTACTGTTGCTAACACCTCTTCTCCCTCCCCCAGATACTGATGTCACCTAATTGTACAGCCGTCAGTCTTTTCAAACCAGCCATTTTGTCTCCTCTGACCAGCCTTAGGAGGTAGGCAGAGCAGGTATGCCATCAATGAGAAAACAGATGCTCAGATACAAGTGACCTGCCCAGGGTCCCAGGTGGTGAATGGCAGGTTCAGACCAAGAGCCCGGACACCTCAGAACAGCTGGATTTTTATTCCTGCTCTGCCTCCATGTACCTATTCACCTTCCCCAGCATCATCACTCACCACTGTTAATTGTCCATCTTTGTCTTTATAGATCTGCTCTTCCTGTCCAGTATTGAAAATTATGGTGCCTTCTTTTCCCGAACTGATGTAAAATTGTAAACTACAAACAAAGGCATCTATTACTTCCATATCTATCGTCCACTGCTTCCCTGCTTCCACTCACCCCCCCAAAAAAAGTATATGTGTGTATACACACACACACACACACATGTATGTATACATACATGTGTGTATGTGTATATCCGTATATGTATATGGGTGTGTATATACGTATACACATAAGGGTGTGTATATATGCATTGTGTATTTACATGTGTATATGCATGTGTTTATGTGTAATAGATACACATAATCTGTAAGGTTTGGGTTGTTTAAAACTTCTCATTATAATCCAAAGGCAATTTTAGTTGCGCAAAGCTTTTTTTAAAAAAGCAATAAAAAATTGAATTATCAAAGATAATTTCTCAAAAATAAAAATATGTGTCAAAGATAATTATCAAAGATAATTCAATAAGAATTCGCTAATTATGTAAACACAGAGATAGGCCGTCCAGTTACAGTTCACATGGGATTCATCAGGGAGCATAGCTGGTCTCTGGGGCTTTAATGTGGTGCCTGGGCCATGATGACACAGCCATTGACCATACGTGATCATACATGATGATCCCCAGTCAGATATATAAAAGGGGAGACGGAAAGCTAGCAAGCCTGAAGAGGTACCCAGTTTTCTTGGCCCCTATGCCCTGTGTGTGTGCAGTTGGAAAAATTAAGGCAAAAGGAACCGGAAACCTAAGAGGAAGATTAGAACCAGGATGTAAGAAGGGCTCAGGGTGGGCGGGGGTACCCTCCTTTTCAGAGCTATCCCTTCACAAAAGATCTTTCTGAAGTCTTGACTCATCCCAGTAATTTTTTTTTGGTCTATGAAGTGACAACTTTTTACTGTCGAATATCTAGTGAAATTTAAATGAAAGCTTTGTATAGAAGGAGTGCTAAATCGAGGTATGATGAAGTATGCAGTTATATCCTACTTAAGCCCAAGCTGATGATTAAAAAAAAAAAGCATCCCACCAGAGAATACAAGCTTTCCATACTATGGAAACTTCAGCTTGAATATCTTTAGTAAGGAGGTTCAGGGGGCGAGCTCGGGACTGACAGAAAGGACACCTTGAGTTCTTACACAGTTCTCATCCTTTTAGTGAAGATCCATCTTTTTGTATTCCCCCACCCCCACCCCACCAAAGCTACGGGGCCCTAACAGGAGGGAGGTGACCCATCTCCACCGTGTTCCCACCCACATAGGCCGGAAGAACCTCCAGGACTAGGGTGAGACGGCAGCAGCAGCTCTGAAGGCCTCCCCGTGGTGGTTCTGAAGTTCCCCCGGCTGGCCCCACCAGCAGCGGCTCTGAAGGCCTCCCCGTGGTGGTTCTGAAGTTCCCCCGGCTGGCCCCACCAGCAGCGGCTCTGAAGGCCTCCCCGTGGTGATTCTGAAGTTCCCCCGGCTGGCCCCACCAGTACCCTCGAAGTAGCTGCCTGATCAGGCTGGCGTTTTGAGTGGGTTCCTTTCACAGGGAAGGGGCAATGGGCAGCCTACCTTCCTTGGACCACCTGGACGAGGTCCTCTTTCTTCACCACCATGGAGAGTTTAGTCATTGTTTCAAAGATATGTTCACACAGTAAAATTATATCACCCTAAAATGAAGAATGAGGGGAACGTCTCAAGATTATTTTTGTCTGACAGAAGAGCCCTGCAGAGCATTTAGTCAGAATTCTGAAAAAATCTTCCACAGAAACCTCAGAGCTGGGACCTGAAAAGGGCCATCCCACACCTATCTATCAATTCCACCCCCATGCCCAGAGTTCCTAATAATGATAATTAGGGCTTTAGTTTGCAAAGCATTTTACAAATACTCTCGTTTGATCCTTTCAACAAGGCTGGGAGATAGGTGCTACTATCCTCATTCTACAGATGGGGAAACCAAGGCAGAGGTTAAGAGACTTGCCCAGGGTCACACAGCTAGTAAATGTCTGAGGCTAGATTTGAACTCAGGTCTTCCTGGCTCCAGGTCCATTGTTCTATCCACTGGGCCTCTTCCCGATACAGAGGGCCGGGCCACATTCTCTCTTCTCTCTGTGAAAATCTCTCGTGATAGATTAGTGTTTGCACCGAACAGCTAACAGATCCCAAAAACATCACACAAAGTATTTTTAGAAATTTTTGAATGTTAAATTTTTCCCCAAGATTTCTAATTTTTTTTCCAACTCAATTCTAAGCTTCTCATTAGATTAGAAGCTCACTGAGGGCAAAGGCTGTCTTTCTTTTTCTTTTTTGGCTCCCCCAGTGCTTGGGCAGCTAAGTGGTGCAGTATATAGAGCACCAGGTCTGGAGTCAGGATAGACCTGAGTTCAAATCCAGCCTCAGACACTTAACTAGCTGTGTGACCCTGGGCAAATCACTTCACCCTGTTTGCCTCAGTTTCCACATCTATAAAATGTTCTGGAGAAGGAAATGGGAAACCATTCCAGTATCTTTGCCAAGAAAACCCCAAATGGAATCACAAAGAGTCAAACACAACTGAATGACAACAAAATCCCCAGTGCCTAGCATGGTGCCTGGCATATAGTAAGTGCTTAATAAATGTTGACTGAATTAGCTTCTAGCAAGAAGCAAGAAAATTCATTTCAGCAGTGATGGAAAAGCCATTTAGTATTCTGTCGACCTTTGTGATTTTTTTTTGGTCCCCACTTATAATTTATAGAGTTAAGAAATAATTTGTTTCTTTCTCAGCCTTCTTCCTTCCCCGCCGCCCCCATCCTGGAGTGGAGCCCTCCACCTGGGTCAGGGGTGGAAAGGTGTGCAAAGTGTCTGTCTGCGCTTGGATAAGAAGTTAATGAAGCCTCCCTTCCACCTTCCATGCTTTTTCCTGCAGATTTACCCATCGGAACTACAGAACGTCAGTCCTATGACCAAAAATAACTTTAAGTATCACTAGCTTGGTAGAAATTATAGGCAGGTTCATACCTTCTGTCTGGTGTCCTCTGGTGACACGTGAATGACAAAGAGTCCATCGCTCAGATTGCTGGTGGAAACACCTTTGGACAAACCCCAAAGTTAAAATCCCCCCACTGCTAACAGTAGCTCCCACACAGATAATTAGCTCATGACAGCCACAGAATGCTTTGGTCGCATCCACCTCGAGAGGTAGATAGGGTAAGTGGCACATACGTAACAAGCCCTGAAGAAATGCTCGTTGGCTTGTGCCCAGGCCCGGACTCAACCCCCGGACCTTCTCATCCCAAGTCCAGTGGGTTTTTTACTACACCACTGGGAATGGCTGAAACCATGTCCCAAGGTAACACCACTGCCTCAAAAAGACTGCAGGGGTTATTTCTGGAGCAGGAGTTCTTAACATTTTTTTGTATTACAGAACAGTCTGGTAAGCCTCTAGACCATCCTCAGAATGTTCTTAAATATGCCTAGCACACAGAAGGCACTTAATGAATGCGTGTTGACTGACAATGCATAAAACAAAATCCCCTTGGATTTTAAAGGAAACTTTTATTTACTTATTATTTATATTTATTTATTTTTAGTTTTCAGCATTCACTTTTGTAAGATTGTGAATTCTAAATTTCCCCCCTCTCTCCCCAAGATGGCATGCAGTCTGATATAGGCTACACATGTATAATCATATTAAACATATTTCCATGTTGTGAAAGAAGAATCAGAACAAAAGTGAAAAAACCACGAGAAAGAAAAACAAAAAACAGCAAAAGAGAGCGAATAGTCTGCTTCGATCTGCATTCCAACCCCATCATTCTTTCTCGGGATGTGGACAGCATTTTCCATTGGGAGTCTTTTGGAATTGTTGAAGGAAAAATTTTAAAGAAATTATACGGAAATAGTTATCATAATGTTTAGGAAAAAAATTCTGCATCCTGGGTTAAGGACCCTAGTTCTGGAAAGTGAAACCAGGAGTGTTTGGGGGTTTTTTCCTTTTTTTTTAATTTTATTTTTTTTGCTCTTTTTGGTGAGGCAGTTAGGGTTAAGGGACTTGCCCAGGGTCACACAGCTAGTAAATATCATGTGTCTGAGGCTGGATTTGAACTGAGGTCCTCCTGACTCCAGGGCTAGTGCTCTATCCACTGTGCCACCTAGCTGCCCCCCAACTGAGATTGTTTTTGCTAGTGATTGAACCCAGCAAAATCAAACCAAGTCAACGAGCACTGATTAAACACCTATCATGGCAGGCCAGGCACTGTGCTACAGGAAATGGCTTTTGTAGAATAGCATCTTCTTAGATCACACAGATGGGTGGAGGAGGATGGGAGGAGTAAGTGCGTCATACACATATCCTCTTGTCCTAAAAACTTCGATGGTGAGCCAGGCTTTCTGGTCAGTAGCAGCAGGCCCGTTCTGACTGTTCTCAAGCCCAGGGGCTGATTGGCAGCCTCCCTTCGGTCGCCCTCCTTCCTAGCCCACTCCGGGCTTACCTTTTAGCGCTTTGTAGTCTATCCTCTGCTTAATTCTAGCGAGTTCCACCACGTACAGCGCTTTCTGGGTAAGGATGAGTTGCCTCTGCCGGGCTTTGAATCCGTTCCTGTCGTATTTCACCACTGGTGTGCCATACTGAGGAGAGGGGAGAGAGGCAGAAAGTTAGAGCAGAGAGGAATCCATACAGATGGCCTGTAACATATGGGGTTGGATGAGGCAAGAAAGCCATGGCCCCCCCAAAAAAAAGTTAAAAAAAAAGAAAGCCATGGCCCATAAAGATGGCATGACTGCCCAAGGCTGCAATGAGTCGGTGGCAAAGTCGAGAGCAGAACCCAAGTCTTTTGACTCCCAGGCAGTTGACGAGCAACTCTAAGAAAAGGCTCACATAACGTGAAAGTCATATGATGGCACCTATATACTTATCCGGGTACATCTGAAATTTTGTTTAGAAGATAACTTTAAAGGGGCAGCTAGGTGGTGCAGTAGATAGAGCTTTGGCCTTGGAGTCTAGAAGACCTGAGTTCAAAGCCAGCCTCACACACTTGACACTGTGTGACCCTGGGCAAGTCACTTAACCCCAATTGCCCCACCAAAAAGAAAAAAAAAAGATAACTTTAAAAAAGAGAAAAGTGTATCCCCAAGTCTAAGAATTCTCCATTTTTGAATGTCTGATTTAGTCATGGACATAGGGAATGGGTGGGGGGGGGCACTATAATGTTCTGGGAAAGCAATCCTATGTCATCTTTCACAAAGGACCCAAGACTTGAACCTTGCCAGCAAAATAAGTCTTCATCACCAAGATGATGACCTCTAGGATGAAACATATGGTCTTTCTTTGGCGTTTAAAGCCCTTCCTAACAATAATCTAGTTCTACCCTTTCCTGTCAGTCAATAAGCATTTATTAAGCACCTGCTGTATACCTGGCACTATTCTTGGCCCTAGAAATACAAAGAAAGGTAAAAGAATCCCTGACCTCAAGGAGCCTACAGTCTAAGGGAGAAGACAACTTGCAAACATACACACAAGCAGGATATATACAGGGTAAATTGGGGAAGGACTAGGGAATGCTTCCTGGCGAAGGTGGGAGCTGAGCTGAAGGAAGCCAGGGAAGCGGGGAGATGGGAAATGAGGAGGAAGAGAGTTCCAGGCACGGGGGACGACAAGGGGAAATGCCTGGGATGGGGAGATGGGAGTGTTGGGGGTGAGGAACAGCCAGAAGGCCAGTGTGACTGGAATGCAAAGAAGGGGGCGGGGGGCTGTGTCAGGGGTGAGGTAACGAGAAAGGCAGAAGAGCCAGGTCATGGAGGAAGTGAGAGGGAACCACTGGTGTTGATTAAGGACGGGGCGACATGGGCAGCCCTGTGCTATCAATGTGGCAGCTGAGACTGGAGCAGAGACGGGCTTGAGTCAGGGAGGGCAGCTCGCAGGCTGTGGCAGCCTTTCCATTCCTCTCTCTCCCAGACTCGAGAGGCCAGACGACTGGTCACCTTGCTGTTCCTTGCACGTGGCATTCCATTTCCTGCCTCTGTCTTTGCCTCGTCCGTCCCCATTCCTGGAATGCCATCCCTCCTGGCCTCCCTCCCCTCTTAGAATCTTGAGCTTCCTTCAAAGCGCAGCCCAAGGTACGTCTTGCACGGCTTCACGTGCGCAATTGATGTCATATTGCTTGCCTTCTCGATGGGTAGGGGAGGGAGAGAATTTGGAACTCAAAATTTTAAAAAAATGAATGTTAAAACATTTTTAAATGCAACTGGAAAATATTTAATGAGATCAATAAGAGAAAAAAAGAATCAACTGAAAAAAAGCCTCAGCCCAAGCTCTACCTTCTACATGAAGCCTCTCCCAGGCCCGCCAATTACTAGTGAAATCCCCTGCCTCCACTTACCTTGACTTTAGTACTTAAAAATGTACTGTGCTGTCTGCCCCAACAGGGGGTAAATTCTGAGGTGAGAGATTTTTGTATTTCCAGGGGGTAGGGGAAAGGGACAAGCACTTATTAAGTCCCTGCTGGTGCCAGGCACTGTGCTAAGTGCTTTACATTTGATAATGAGATCATTCCTGCACTCAGTAGGTGCTTAATAAATAACTCATTTATTAAAGAGCTACTGAACACCAGGCAAGGAAAGGTCTCATCCTCAGAGTCCTCAGAACTCTCAAAAGGCTCGATGTCAGAAATGGACATGGTTTTGTCCTCTGAAATGATTCTAAAGATGAGCTTGTATGGTAGACAGCCCCCTCTCCTCTCTAAACCTGAGCCAACCTAGATTACCTGCCATGTGGACCCGGGGCTGAGCCCTCCCATTTGCTCCTGAAGAACCAGGGCCGGCTTCCTTTCCCATTTGCCTCCTCAGCCCTCAGCACATAGAAGGGGCTTAGCAGATGTTTTTTTGTTTGCCATTTACTGCCTGATTAATTGCTAGGGGAGGGAACCTTAAATTGGCATACAAATATCAGTTCATTCCTATAAGGAGAGCACATTTTTAGAGGAATCATGACCACCTTGAGGACTTCATCAGGGCAGAGTCAGAATTAGAACCCAGTCCCTGGCCTCTTAGGAGCCTACTCTTTGCACCCCAAGCTCACCACAAACACTTCCAGCACAAGGCTCTGCTTTGTCCTCACCTGGATTTTCTCACTGCCAATCAGCTGCAGGACTTTGGGATTAATGTCAGCCTCATCTAGGAAGAAAACCAGAGCATCGGTGAAAGAAACATCACTGAACAGCCCCATCTCTGCCCCATCAACAATCAGAAATTCCCTCTCACATGCACGCAGGTTAATTTTCTTAATTGTTATCTTTTTGATTCCCCTAAAATTTACAAATACGATATGTGACCTGTCAGCTAATGGGGACTAGGGGCAGAACAACATTCCCTAGAAAGATTTGACTGAGTTTAAAAAAAAAAACAAATTGGTAGTGAAAAAAATATATTATTATGAATTAATCTTTGGATTCTTGAGGACAGCTGTTGGGTTCAAGGGCTCCTATAAGTCAAAAAAAAAGTCCTTCAGATAGTTGAGTAAGCTGGTACCCAAAATCTAGTTGAGGGAAGTCATGATTAAATGCCCCCAGCATTCAAATCCTGTGCCCCGTGTCTCAGGACTAGGATCTGGAAGGAAAACACCTCGATTCGTGGACTCACCTATCCGGCTATCGGCAAAGGGCTGGCTTAAACTTTCTGGGTAGCCAGCCTTCTTCCCTCGGAACAGGTCGCTTGTAACCACCTTTTGCTGCATCTGGTGATAGACGATTGAAATGTTTTTCTGAGTTCAAATCTGGCCTCAGAACAAACACTTGACACTTACTAGCTGTGTGACCTTGGGCAAGTCACTTAATCCCAATTGCCTAAAAAATAAAAAAATTTTAAAAAGAAAAAAAAGAAATGGTTTTCTGCCATCCTCGGGCAGCTACAGGGTGCAGTCCATAGCATTAGACCTAGTGGGGTTACTTAGGGAGACTGGAGTTTCAACTCTGCCTCGGGCACTTACTGGCTGTGTGACTTTGGGAGAGTCATTTCACTGTGCTGTGCCACAGTTTCCTCATCTGTAAAATGAATGTAATAGCAGGCCCAACCTACCCCCCAGAGTAGTTGTGAAGATCAAGCAGGATGATATTGGTTAAGCGCTTTGGAAACCTTAAACTGTTATATAAATGCTAGTTATAAGACGACAAAGCAATTAGCTTGATCAACCAGCATTTATTATGCAGACCACGTGAGCTAAGTGCTGGGGATAGAAAAAGAGACAAGCCATCCCTGCCCTCAAGGAGCTTACAATCTAATGGGGGAAGACAGCGTGCAAACAAATACATGCAAAGCAAGCCACGGACAGGATAAATGGGAGATCGTTAACAGAGGGAAGGCACTGGAATTAAGGGGGGGGGAAGGCTTCCTGTAGGAGGTGGAATTTTAGTCAGGACTTCAAGGAAGCTGGGGAGGTCAGCAGGCAGAGTGGAGGAGGAGATTCTAGGCATGGGGACAGATGAGGGAATGCCCAGAGCTGAGAGACAGAGGGTCTTGTGCATGGAAGATCAGTGTTACTGGATCCCAGAGCATGTTGGGGAGCAAGGTGTAAGAAGACTGAAAAGGTAGGACAGGGCTGGTTATGGAGGGCTTTGAATGCCCAGCAAAGGACTTTGTATTTGGCTTGGTGTAGGCACGGGAATTTCCAACATTACCGCCTCCCCATCCCAGGACTAGGGGCGAAATTTAGCCATGGACCCCAGAGTAAGAACCTCTGACTAGGGCTCAGACAGCTCAGCCCTACTCCCCATACAAAGCACTGTTGGAAGATACGTGGAAACTTTCATATATACCTTTACAAGGTCCAAGCTTGGAGCTAAGGGAAGAGACCAGGGGTCCTGATGCTTCCCCACCTTCCCCCCTTCAGGTGCATTTTCTGTAGCACCTTAAAATTCTGGCCTCCCGAGTGTAAAACCTCAGGAAGGGTCCTCTGACCCCCCTTGTTAACTGGAAAACAAGCAAACAAGGCTTCCCTGCTCCTGCGGTGGGGGCTGCATGCACACCTGTCCTCAGGTGACTCCTAAGGTGGAGTCTGCATGCACACCTGTCCTCGGGTGACTCCTGAATGGAGGCTGCATGCACACCTGTCCTCAGGTGACTCCTGAATGGAGGCTGCATGGACACCTGTCCTAAGGTGATACATGAGGGAGGGGGGAGGGGAAAGGGCTGTACCTGAGCTTTCCTCTGAGCTGTCACCTCACGACAATACTGGCGCACCAGATTTCTCATGCAGATTTTCTTCAGCATCTCAGAAGTCTGTGTGGAAGAAAAACCATCCCCCCCATACAGAACCAGTCACAAATGCTACATCATGTATACCACGCAAGCCCATGTGGAAGCCTCATCTTAAATCAGATCTACTTCTGCACCTTCTCACCTGCCTCCAATAGCTAATCCTGTATCAGAGGCAGCTGGGTGGTGCACTGGATAGAGCACCGGGCCTGGAGTTAAGAAGACCCGAGTTCAAATCTCACCTCGGACAGTTGCTAGCTGTGTGAGCCTGGGCAAGTCACTTAACCTCTATCTGCTTTAGTTTTCCCAACCGTAAAATGAGAATAACAGTAGCGCCTACCTCCCGGGGCTAATTTTACAGATGAAATGAGGTAATATTTGTAAAGTACTCAGCCCAGCACCGCAGGCAGGAGGGGCTTAACAGGTGTTTCTTTATTGCCATCAATTCTCATACTCTAAAACCTGAGTCAAATGCCAGTTCTTGCCTGATCACCTGTATTCAATAAAATACTTTCCCCGTCAGCGCTCACAAAGCACTCTGGCTCTATCTGACCCACTGATTCTGTGTGTGTGTGTGTGTGTGTGTGTGTGTGTGTGTGTGTGTGTGTGTGTGACACTTGTGATGTCATGGGTCCCCTTCCAGAAGGAAAGAAGAGGAACAGCAATCATCTGCAGACTAATTATGTCCGTAGGTGCCACACCCTGCCGCACCAGCCCAGGAGCTCCACAGGAGCTGAGCTACGGGGTCTGCACACAGTGGGTGCTTAATAAGTGCTGATTAAACTGGAATGTTCTCGTCTTACAGCCAAAGGGAAAAGCTACCGGCTGCCCCAGGCTATTAATCCTATTTTATACTACTTGACAATTGGACCCGAGCTGGGAACAAGGGGGATTGAGGCAGGGCCTCACTCAAATAGCACGTTCTGTTATAGTTCTCTTAAGGAAGGTGGGCTTGAATCTGTTGTAAATACTAGGCTTGCAGTGTAGCTGCTTATGGCCTTTTTTTAAAAAGACAATTGGGGTTAAGTGACTTGCCCAGGGTCACACAGCTAGTGAGTGTCTGAGGCTGGATTTGAACTCAGGTCCTCCTGACTGCAGGACCAGCACTCTATCCACTGTGCCACCTAGCTGCTTCACTTATAGCCTTTTACTCCAAGAAGAAGGTACACTGAGCCCCCCACCCCCCATCACGTCATTATCACACTTGCCAGGCTCAGCACATACATTTTCCAAGATGGCTGGAGGCTTCAACCAGCTCTTGTCCAACACATTTTTGGGAACATGATTTCTCAGGTTCAAGATGTAATTCTTCCGCACGAAGATAATATAGTCTTCATTTTCTGAACAAAGAGTCTGATTTCGATTGATGAACCCTCTTATGAACCTAAACAAGGAATTGTATCATGAGTTACTCTGACCTGGCCTTTGCTAGGGGGCCTGGGGTCTCTCTGTGCTGACATCCGATAGACCAAAGTAGTCATCTCAGAGATACAAAGACGGACAGAAAGTAAGATGGGGAGAGGGGAGGGAGGGAGAGAGAGAGAGAGAGAGAGAGAGAGAGAGAGAGAGAGAGAGAGAGAGCGAGAGCAGAAGAGAGAGAGGGAGGGAAGGAGAGAGAGAGAGAGAGAGAGAGAGAGAAGAGAGAGGAGAGAGAGAGAGAAGAGAGAGAGAGAGAGAGAGAGGGAGGGAGGGAGGGAGGGAGGGAGGGAGGGAGGGAGAGAGAAAGAGAGAGATGTCTCAATCCCCTGGGTCAAGAGAACTAGTTACACGAAAAACTGTGATGGCATGAAAACTTGAGTAGGTAAGATTTGACTAAAGGTTTCACATTATTAATTAAAAAAATATTAATAAAAATAAATAGAATAAATAATAAAAATCATTGTTAATAAAAATTCACATTTACAGGTTGCTTCTTTGGTTTCTAAATTGCTTTCCACCCAACAATTCCTAAAGTAGGAAATGCCAGTATGAGAATTATTTTACAAATAAAGAAACAGGCTCAGAAGGGTCAGAGGCATTATACTTATTTTATAAACTCGCAAATATTTACAATTTTTAAAAAAAATTTGAAATGTAAAAACATTTACAAATACTACATGAATGGTGAAACCAAGGCTCTCGAGAGGCAGAAGATTTGCCCAAGGCCACGCAGCAAGCAGCAAAGAGCTAGTTCCTGAACCTCAGTCTCCTGCCTCTCGCTATGTATGCTATGTTGTCTCTACCTTCCCAAGCAAAAAGTTGAATATTAGAAAAGTATGCAAGGAGAAACAAAACAACATTTTGTAATGAATTTTCTAGGCACACGCTTTAGTAGGATGTAAGCTTCCCCAGTAGAATGTAGGCTTTTTGAGAGCAAAAACTGGTTGCTTTCTATTTTTGTATTTGCAATGTCTTGACCAGCAGTAGGGATCTGTGGCCTTGAGGCCACATGTGGCCTCTAGGTCCTCAAGTGCAGCCCTTTGACTGATTTGGATTCAATCTTGACATTTCAAAAGATTGACAGCAGGAGCTTAACAAATGCTTATTGAATTAATTAATTAGAAATCACCCCACAGTCCCACTCCCTGTACTTAAAGAGTGTGTCCCTGTTCCACAGGAAAACCTACTTTCTGATGATCTGAACAGCCCACTTTCTCCTTTTGATTTCCTTTCTCGCCAGGGCACCTCTCCAGTAGGCTTCAAGTGTAATGGCTGAAAGAATTGATCGCTGGCATTAGGGAGTTCAATATTGCTTTGAACGAAGTAGCAAAATCATATTGAACATGTGAAGGCTATTCCAAGAATGCTTTGTTCATCCTCACTCACTGAAGTCCGAGTGTCCAGCTGTCTCATACCATGCTGAGATTATGAGGCTTTGATGAAGAGGCCACTAAATCATCGGTTTGGGTCCCTTTTCCATAAACCCTAACAGTGGCTGACATTCACTGAGCATTTTATAGTTACAAAATCCTTAACATACGTTCTCATTTGGTCTCATGACCCCATTTTATAAGTCAGGAAACTAAAGCCTAGGGAATGTGCCCAAGGTCACACAGTGAGTGACCAAATGGCCAAAGTTGGACTCGAACCCAGAGACTCTTTCCACCCTCGAATGCCGTCTGCCCCCCTCCCAGCTTAGGCACAGATGGGGTCCTTATGCTTACTCCTTACCTGCTCGCCTCTTTTTCAGATATGCTCTCCTCTCTACGCAGCCTTTGTATGTGCTTTGGATTTTCGCAACTTAAAGTAAAACAAAAGTTTCAGTGAAATAGGTTTCATTCAGGTCCATTGCATTTTTCTCTCCTTAGAGAGAAGACACCAAAAATGTGCATCAGAGGATGAAATTTCACGCCAGTCTATGAATCTGGCCCCAAAACCACTGAGAAGGAGTCAAGGCTGGGAGAGAATTATTGATAGAGCTGAACCTAAACATTGTTTAGTTGTCAAAACATGAGCAAAAACATTGATGACTTCCTATTGCAACAATAGGTATTTAGACAAAGTCACAAATAAGGGTGTGTTGGTAATGTATACGGTAATACATTAGTAATGTATATATACACAGATGTATAATATGTGTAGATGGATGGATAGATGAATGGATGGATGGATAGATAAATAAATGGATGGATGGATGGACAGATAGATAAATGGATGGATGGATAGATGGATGGATAGATGGATGGATGGATGGATGGGTGGGTGGATGGATGGATGGATAGATAGATAAATGGATGGATGGATGGATAGATGGATGGATGGATGGATGGATGGATGGATGGATGGGTGGATGGATAGATAGATGGATATATGAATGGATGGATGGATAGATAGATAGATAGCCCCAATAAAGATTTCCCCTCAATTCTCCTTCATAATCTAGCAGCACAAGAAATCACAAGATTTTTTTGTCTGAATCACAAGATAGTTCTGTCTGAAGACAACCACCCTCTCTGTACTCCGTTGCTAAATTTAGTAAATCTCCCTTCTAGGGATTATAATGATCCAGCCTGCTAAAAACGTCCGCATAGATTTCAAAGGAGGGAAATCCTTCAAATATTTCTGCTCCCCTCTGCATTAGCCCTGCCTAATCTCCTTTAGCTGTGAATGATATCATGAGCAGCATGACCTCAGCTCCAAAAGCATGATCCCAGAGCCCTCAGACGTACTGAATAATAGTTAGCGTTTATGTAGTACTTTGAGGTTTGCACGTTAGCTTATTTGATCTGCACAATAACCATGTGAGGAAGGTTTGTTTGTTTTTTTACAGATAAGGAAACTGAGGTTCACACAGTTAAATGATTTGCCCAGGATCACCCAGCTAGTGTCTGAGGATGCATTTGAACTCAGGTCTTCCAGACTTCAAAATCCGGGTCTCTGGCCATTGGGCAACCTAGTGACCATTAAGAATCAAAGTTATTGGGGCAGCTAGGTGGCATGGTGGATAGAGCTCTGGCCTTGGAGTCAGGAGGACCTGAGTTCAAATCCAGTCTCAGACACATGACACCTTCTAGCTATGTGACCCAGGGCAAGTCACTTAACTCTGATTGCCTCGCCAAAAAAAAAAGCCAAAAGAAAAAAAGAGTTAAAGTTATTTCAGCCTTTACTTGAGAGGTAAGTGGCCAAAATCTGCCCAGATTTCCTAGGTCTGGCGCAACACATCTGTTTCAGTTTAACGAACTCTGATCAGATAATCGATTTATCCAAAGTCACACACAGAGTAAGGGAAAGAGCAGGGACTCTTGCCAGGTCTTCTGAAAGCTAATCTGGGTTTCTTCAGCCTGCTTCCTCCTAAGTCTTACCTGGTATGAAGGGGGAGGGAGGATGGACCCTGCTTACCTCTCACCTAAAATGGGCAGAATTTTGCACCCACGAATGCACTGAACACTCAAAAATAACTCAGTGGCCCCAGGGCATTGCTTAGCCTGGTGCAGAATAAGCATTTGATAAAAAGCTGACCTAAGCCCTAACACGAAACCTCAGCTCTTGGACCAGTTGTCTTCTTTCCCAGGGTCCGGTTTCCTCTTCAAAGGGAAGGTTTCCAGGGCAAGGTCTATGATTCACTCTTCGCAAGCCTCCACAAAGGAAACTCTTTGTTCATTTTATACTAGCTCTTTTACATGTGTTCACACATAAAAGGAAGGAAAAAAACATACCTAGCTGATGTTTGCTAAATTCGAACGCGTCTTCAGTGGCAAAAAGAGTTCTGGGGAAACGTATGAATATCTTGGTTCTAACAAGAAAAATAAAGGATTCTTTCTTAATTACTGATCGAAAAACATTGAGTCAGTACCTAGCATGTCTCAAGCACTGTTCCAGAGGGTGGGAATACTGGCTAAAAACAAAACTTCCTACCATCAAAGAGTTTACACTCCATAGGAGAAAGTCACGTGGGAGTGTATATCTAGCAAACACATTTTGGGGGGAGGACACTAGCGACTTGGGGTGGGGGGAGATTAGAAAAGGCTTCATGTAGGAGGTGGTATCTGAGCTGAGCTCTGAAGGAAATTAGGGATTCTGAGAGGTAGAGGTGAGGTGATAGAACATGCCCAGAAGGGGAGATAGCCTGGGCAAAGGCACGGGGAGACGGGGATTATGTGAAGAACAGCAAGACACGGGGGAAGGGGAGCACACAAGCATTTAGTGAGCACCTACTATGTGTCGGGCTCTGTGCGAGGCACGGTACCAATGTACTCTCTTTTGACCCTCACAACAACTCTGGGGGTCAAGAGTATTACTGTACAAATGAAAAAAGTGAGGCTCAGAGGAAGTCCAAAGACTCGCCCAGTTTGTCTGTACCAGAGTCTATGAAAGGGAATGAAGTATAGTAAGGCTGGAAAGGAGGCCAAAAAGAGGCTTTCTGTGTTTGACCCTAGAGATAATGGGGAGATACGGATGTCCAATGAGCAAGGGAGGGATGCGGTCAGTCTTAGGCTTAAGGAAAATCTCTTTGGCAGCTGGGGGGGAGGGGGGTAGCCTGGATTGGAAAGAGGAAGGGTTTAGGCAGAGAGGCCAATTAGAAGGCTGGCACGATGAATTGTCCCAAGTGAAAGCAGATGAAGCCCTGAGGACTAACAGCAGTTAATGACACCTAAATTATGATGTTTAAAGTCAGATTCACATGACTCACATGATTACACTTAATATTTTGAGAATATACATGTTTAATAAATGAAGTCTAGACTTAGGATTTCATCAGTGTGGGAAATTCTTTCCGCCAAAGCCGAATGGCACCGCCTGTCATTTAGTTTTAGAGAGGTTGCCCGGGGCACTGAGAAGTCAAGGCAACTTGTCCAAGGTGACACCCGGGATTTTAGGTTCCAGCGCTGGCTTCTTATCCACTACTTAATGCTGCCTCTCATTACGATGCGGTAGGAGAGAAAGAGACAGAAAGACATAGGGACAGAGTGCAAATGAGAGGGAGAGACAGAAAGGTGGGGAGGGATGGAGAGAGATTGAGAGATATCAAGAGACACAGAAAGTATTAGAGATGGAGACAGAAACTGAGTGGGAATAGGAAATGGAAGGAGAGATGGAGAGAGACTGAGAGATGGAAAGATGGAGCAAGATGGAGGGAGAGAGATAAAGAGTGGAAAGAGAAAGGAATGGAGAGAGAGGGAAAAGAAAGAGAGGGATGAAGAGAGAGAAAGAAAAAGATGAAAAGATCAAGAGATGGAAAAATGGAGAGAGATGGAGGGAAAGAGATGAAGAGAGTGGAAAGAGAAAGAGAGGTGGAGGGGAAGGGAGAAAAAGGAGAGAAAGAGAGAGAAGAGAGAAAGAGAAAGAAAGATGGAGAGAGATGGAGAGAGGAAGATGAAGAGAGTGGAAAGAGAAAGAGATGAAGGAAGAGGGAGAAAAAAGAGAGAAAGATGGAGAGAGAGAGAAAGAGAGAGAGATGGAGGGAAAGAGATGAGACAGAGGGACAGAAAGAGAAAGAGAAAGATGAAGAGAGATTCAGACCGAGAGAGAGAGAGATCAATCTTAGGCAAGTCATTTGATCACTTTCCCATTTTTTTAAAAAAATAGTTCATTAGCGTCTTGTTTTCAGATCACCTACGTTCCACCTCATCCTGCCCTTTCTCCTCTCCCAAAGGACCATTCATTTTAACAGTTTTCCTTAAAAAGAGGATGAAAGAAAAAAATCACCAAACCAATCAGCACAAAGAAAAACACCTGACATCACATGCAGTGTTCCACAACCACGGAGCCATGGCCTTTCCTTGAGAAGAGGGAAGTGTCTTCTCATAAATCTGCTTTGGACCAAGACGGGTGTTTATACGTTTGTAATATTCAGTTTTGATTGTGGTATGGTAACTGTTCTCTCCATTCACATGACTGTAGTCATTGTGTATAGTATCCTGGTTCTGCTCACTTCACTCAGCGTCCATTCAAGCAAGTCTTTCTGTGCTTTTTGTATTCATCACACTCATCGTTTCTTCTAGCACAGTGATTTTCCATTACATTCACATACCACAGTTTCTTTAGCCATTCCCCAGTCGATGGGCATCTGTGTTCATGCCCAGTACAAAAAGTACTGCTATAAATATTTTGGCGTACTCTGGGCTTTTATTTTTATCAATAACCTTCTTAGTCATTGATATATATGCGTAGAATTAGAATCTCTGAGTCAAGGGGTATGGCATTTTAATGATTTTATTTGCCTGGTACCAAATTAGTTTCCAGAATAGTTGTCCAAATTCACAGCTCTGCCAGTGTATTAGTGTACCTGTCTTTCCCACAGCCCCCAACACTGCCCAGTCCCTATTTTATCACCTTTCCCAATGTCCTGGTGAGAGGTTAAGCCTCGGTGTTGGTCTGACTCGCATTTCACTTACTGTTAGTTATTTGGCGCGTTTTTTCATGTGGTTGTAAATAGTTTAAAGCCTTCTTTTGAGGGCTGCCTGAGCACATCCTCTGAGCACTTCCCTACTGGGAAACATTCCCCCATTTTCAGGGATCAGAGACTATTCAATGGCAACGCCTGGCCTAGATTTTAGAATCTTTGAGTCATGGCTTGCTTCTTTCTGTTCCCTCACCTCAGAGTCTTTGAACAGGTCTGAACAGCACTTTTGTCTGAAGAGGGTAGAAGGATATTTTTATGAGTAGCCGCATAAACCTGCAGAACCTTGCCGATGAGCGAGCATTGGAGGCTCCTATTGGATGGGTGAGATCATGGTTGATGAAGTATCCATAGATGAATAACAGAAACGCAATAAATCCCCAGGGGAGCAGAAATACGAGGGGCACCCACTTACCTCCCTAACTTGTACTCTCCGGTTTGTAACCAATGTATTTGATGAGCTTTTCCACCCCTTCTAATGGAGAACCATGCCAATGGGGCCAGGTGTCTGGGCACAAGGATTTGTACCTAGAGAAGGAAGAGATTAAGGCATCATCATTGCCACCTTTCCCCTTTTAGAGACTTACATGATGATTTGTACCCAGAAAAAGAGGAGAATGGGTCATCACCACTGCCAACTCTCCCCCTTTAGGGATTTTCGGCTGCCATCTTTGCTTTATTGCCATCAAGTGGACACTGAAGAGTACTAAAGGATGTGCTCACACTGCCCCCTGGTGGCCAGATACCACACATTTGAAAAAAATCAAGTATTTTTTGGGTGGTTAGAATTAAATCAGACACTCAAAACAGATGATTCTCAATGATCACTTGCTTTCTCTCATCATTGGAATTCCAAGCACCCTGAATGTTGCTCACCCTGTTTAAGCAACAGCTGTGCTAAGAAGTCAACAGAAAATATACCTTTGCAAGAAATGCTCGTATTTCCTCCTGTAGGCAAATCCAGCCCGTCTCACCCGCAAGTGCTCCATCAGACCCAGGTACTTGATCTGATGTCTTATGAGGAAGTCATCAAACTTACCTATAGAAACATCGTTGGAAAGAAAGAGAAAAGGGCAGTTTCATCCAAAAGTCTCCATGAGCCAGAGGACCTTTCAGGAGCTTGTACACCCAGGTGCATTGCAACGATTGGTTTGAAACTGCTTCACCTTCCAACATCTCTGACAATAGAATGTGTGGCTCCCAATCTTTGAGCAATGCTAAGGCAAATCAATCAATCAATGAGTATCGATTAAGCACCTACTATGTGCTGAGCACTTTGAGGTACTGGGAATAGGGGGCAAAGAATGGGTGGCATGAGAGGCAGTTCTGAGGTAACGTGGGACACTTTTAGGTAATGATGAGATCTAACAAATAACCAGGTCCACAATGAAGCAGAGTTTGTTTAGTAAGGAATGGGAATTCAAGAGGGCAAAACCCACCAAAGGTGAACATAGCTGTCTTCACATTAAAAAGGAAAAAAAAGTTTGTTCCATGAGCTTGGCTCATGAAAACAGTGCTTTGGAATATGGGCTATGGAATGGTGTTTTGTTTTTGTTTTTTACAATGTTAAACCAAAGAGAGGTCACACAGTACAGTGCAGAGATCACTAGATTCAGAGTCAGAGGACCTGGATTCAAATCCTGACTCTGCCATTTACTCCTTGTGTGATGTAGGACAAATCAGTTAAGCTCCCTGGGTCTCTGGTGATAGATGATCCAAAGATGGGAAAAAAAGGAAAGACAAGGGGGTCATTGTAGCATTTTTTGTTTGTTTCTAAACGTACCAAAGAGGGGGAAAAAAGAGGAAGTTCAGAGGGAGAAGCAGATAAGCAGGTTGGCTTTGAAACAGACATGTTGACTTTGTTATGTACTTCTAAAAAGGCACAAACTGAATGTAACAGAGATTTGCAGTTCTATCTACAATCCTCTTTTTTCTGTTCTTTGCATGTGGAAATATTTGTTTGTTAACATTTGCCAGCTTCAAAATGAAAAAAATTTTTTTTTATCTAGTTAAGAAAAACGAGTGGGTTGGACAAGATGGCCAATGAAACCCCTTCCAACTCCAGATCTATGCTCCCGTTTCCTTTACCATTTCTTTGAATTCAGTCACTCACTCGGTTCTTTTCCCTCATTGGGTTTGATGCAGCGAATATAAGAAGGTTCCTTGGACATCAGGATGTCGATGAGGTTGGCTACGCTATTCTTGAACTGAGTTCCAACCTACAGAGACAGAGAATCCTGATTAAACACCACCAGCCAATAAAAGCACAAACAATTCACCTGAAACATAATTATCCCTACTCTGAGCATTGGCCTTTTCTACATCTTCCCATCTCATTTCATTCTGCACCTCTCTGTGCACTTCCCATTCTTCCAACACTGGGAGCTCCTCCCCATACATAGCAGTCCATCTGTCTCCTGGATATGCAATACACTCTTTCCTCACCTGGCATGCTGGAATCCTTGGACTCCCTTCAAGCATCATCCGGGAGCTGCTCTCTCTCATATAGCCCTAACTGATATGCCCAGTGCCCTCCTCTCAATCCCAAAATTCTCTTGCATTAGCATTGCATGAATCTGGTATTTACTTGTTGGGGCTCCTCCTTCCACCCCCAGCAGAACGAATGTAAGCTCCCTGAGGGCAGGTCTGCTTTTCTTTTGTCTCTGCATTCCTTCACCCAGCACTAGGCCTTTCTTACATTATGCCTTGAACAGCGCTGAGAGGTTGAAGGATGTACCAGGGTCACATAGCTGGCATGCATCAGAGGTGGGATTTGCACCCAGGTCTTCCTGGTTCTGAGGTTCTCTTTCCACTACACCACTCCCGGTTTTTTGTTTGATTTTTTTTTTTACCTTAAAAGAGAGACAGATGGCTCAGGGCCCTGAAATGAGAATCAGAAGGCCAGATCTAGAGTCCTGCCATGAACTCCCTATGTGACCTTGGGCAAATCTCGAGCTTTCTCAGGACCTCAATGATCCCACCTGTAAAATGGGCCAGCTAACCTCTAAGGTCCCCCCTCTCTGATGTCCTGTGGTTTTCTCATTCTAACTGCGTGAGGGTCATGCTGTCAGGGCAGGGCTAGGTAACATTTTTTAAAAAAACACAAATGTCTCGATGCCTTTCAGCATTTTGTAGGTCAGTTTTCCCACTCACCGTTGCAGGCCTTTTCCTGTTTTCTAGTTCTTCTACAAGAAAGCACTCTTTAATAATATCATTTTTAGACCCACACAGCACCTAACAGAACACAAAAGGTGAAAGTGAGTCTGAGACAGTCACGTCTCGCAAATTCTAGGCAGACCAGCAACACCAACAATAATAATAACTAGCATTTCTCTGGCACTTTGAAGCTTATAAAGCACTTTACATACATTATCTCAACTGATCTGTAAATCTGGGGCTGGTATTACCTTCACTTCACAGATGAGGAAACTATGAGC